AAAAAGTTCATAGCTGTTAACTGAGCATACTAAACGTCGAGTAATTGAAAATGAGTGAAGCACGCGCTGCAATAGCTCCAATGAATATCGAGGGAAATCTCGCTGAGAATGGGGAAGCAAACTGTCAATTTGTTGTACATAGAGGGCGCTAAGTGTTTGTCATCAAAAGATACATTGGTTATATGGGAACATTTGTGATTTTTCGTTTTTATTCAGAGAAATGGGTCGTTGTGCTTCTTTCGGGTGCAAAGAAATGGGAGTTTATAAGTTTCCTGAAGATACTGTTATGAGAAGAAAATGGGAAAAATCTTTGAGGATAGTAAAGTTCAAATGTACTGATCATTCTAGGTTATGTGGTGAACATTTCAAAGATTCTGATTTTGAGACTACTTCAAAGACAACTGGTAAGTAGCATTCATTCTACTTATTTATATGTGATATTAATTTTATAAAATTTTATAGGATATTCACTCGAAAGAAATTTTTTTGAAAAATCAGCTGTACCTTCCATATTTCGCTGTACTTCGAATTCTATCAGTCCACGGATGTTGAGATTAGAAAAAAGGAATGCAAAACGTGATTTGAAGCCAGCTAGTAGTGAATCATCTGAAATGTTCCACGTACGTCGTTTAATTTATCTAACACTCACTCTCTACACCGTATTGTGTCTATCACATAATGAAATACGATTTATATTCACCAATTATCACATTCATTCAGTGACATGGTGAATTCCCTGAAATATTTCTTATCGTTTGTGTGCAGTTATCATCTGGGAATAGTATAAGTTGCATTTCTAGTTGTCAAAGTTATCAAGAGTTGTTTCACAAATCTCCGTCCGAAAATTGAAAGAGTATCGAAGTTCTGCCTTACCCACCTTACTTCACATACCTCTCGCCAAACGACTACCATCTTTTCACCGGTAGAACCTTTGCCAAACAGGACCAGGCAAAAACGGCCTTCATCGACTTCATCGAGGCCCGAGTACCCAATTTTTATGCTACGGGAATGAATCAACTTGTGTTACGTTGTCAGAAGTGAACTGATGAAAATGACGCTCATTTCAATCAAATTGAATAAGTATTCAACAAGATATTACAGTTTGAAGTGGACTCATAGAAACGTACAAAACTTTTGGCACAACCTAATATTACTATGTGATTTATATGTACATACCGTGAACTTTGGATCTCCTTGCTGGCTATCATCTTCTAAAAATTGAAAAAACTTTTTATTACACGCTTTATCTTAGCTTTACCTGTATGTATGTATGTATGATTGTTTGTATGCATGTTTGTGTGTAACTCTCAAGATCGGGATCTGTATTGACAGAATTATCGGCATTGTTACTTGATCTATTCGCGGACAGATGGCGCTGTTGGTAACCTAATTGATATTTCTCGATCCATTCGCGGGCAGATGACGCTGTACGTAACTATCAATTATTGCTTGATCTATTTGCGAAGAGATGGCGCTGTACGTAACTATCAATTATTGCAATCAAATCAAATCAAAATGTACTTTATTGTTGAAGATGAAATCTCATTGACGAAGTGTTACTATCCTAAGAAATATAAGATACAAAACTCAAAAGATATTGTCGAAGATAAAATATTATTGTCAAAGTGTTATAATTTAAAGAATATAAGTTATACAAATTGAAAGTAATATTTGAACATTTAATTGAATAGAACTGGCCGATACTTGATGAAAATCCATATTCAAAAAACTAATAAATAGAGTTAGTTTATTCTATGATTTTCACTATAAGGGTTTTACAAAAACCGCGACACGTGTTTCGCTATACAATACCTTCTTCAAGCATAACTAAAGTTACTTCTAAAATACACCTTATATACTATAACCTAGTAACTATTTGTCTACCTAAGTAATAAATCTACCTGAAAAAATATATCTGAAAAAGTCAGTTATCAATACATTTTTCAAAAGTCTACCTGGAAATATACCTNAGAAATTTCTTGTTATTCAATATTGTATTCTAAACGTCTCACTGCTGTTTGGGTCCTGTCCTGATGAGAGGCAATACTTCGAAACCGATCTGTAGTTGATTTACTCAACTGATTTCAGCATGGTTCTGCAGTCGGATATATTTCAATATCCAGCGTGGTATTAGCCGAAGAAGCACTTTTTTCCGGAAGGCATTTACCAGAACCTACTGTATGGGTAGTTGGGAGAGATGGATGATTCGTAAATTTATTTGGAAAAATTTATTTTGTTATATACAGTTACCAAATCTTCAGAATTATTTTGACCTAAGGATTGAACCTAATTTATGTTTATGCACTTGTTTTTTGTCGAAAAAAGCGCAAGCATAAACAACATATTCACAAATATTATTTATTTGATATCCTACTGTGGTACTGAATTGGAACTAGAGAAAAGAAATTGGCGATAGACGCATCCCTCTGCCATCGAAGATCTATACTACTGATTGAAGTCCTATATAAAGCAAAGAACAAATTTTAATGGTAGTTCAAAATTTGAAACAATCTTTTTGAGATGTATATGGTCAATGACATCTACAAATATTGCGATTGCCCATTTTCGTATTGACCTAACCGCTTGGTTATTAGTCAAATCATTTGGCGAATTTTCTAGTTTTGGTTCTTAGTTCCTACTCATGTTCGAGTTTACATAAAAACTCTCGTCGATTTGTTATGGTTGAACTTCAAGTTCTTAGTCTTAGATTTAGTCATACGTATGTTGCATAAGCCCACTATTTTAGTAATATTTATCTGGTCCTCTTCATTATAACATAAACGAAGTGTCGGGCCTAACGATGTGTATATCTAAATAAAGTTTGTTTACAATTGCAAATATCTCAGTCAGTATTTTTCCAAACTGTTAGCGATTTCAGATTATCCGCCTTCTTCAAGACACCCTGTTGATGAGAAACAATATATAATTGTTCACAACCCGTATAAGACATCCTTGAAAGACAACCCAACTTCTCCTTTTTACCACTCAACAAAGTAAGTAGATTGGTGTTACCAAGATAATCGAGATGAAATGTATCACCATCTCAACAGTTATCTCATTAATCATTCTTTCGTTGAATATAATATGAAACAAACAATGTCGAGTTGTTTTCATCATTGGGCCATTTTTTGCCGCCAGCCTTATCCGTCAAAACGTCTGCTTGAGTTGGTATACTGATGAAACAAGTGGTCATTATAAATTATCAAGTAATTAATATATAGTAAGAATAATTGCGTATGTATACATATTAAAGTCAATCATTCCTCTGCCCGGTTGAGAAAATCATTTACAAGACTCGGGGTTAACACAAATCATCGCGTTGAATGAAAATAAGTATATTTATTTATGTAATTGAATAATTGCGAATTGTGGCGATTATAACGACTTGTCAATGAAGTTTATTGAAAGGTCAGAACAACAGTGTGGTAGGTAGTTGCGCAAAAGAACACAGGAAAGAAGTTGGGTGGCAAATTGTTACATTGCTAATATTTGTGCAAAAGATCGTATGTAGAAACGATACACAGAAATGTATTGAAACTGATTCATCCCTCATGATATTTCAGTTTGATTTCATATTGTTCCATGGTCGGTAGCCAGGCGGTTCGATGTGGGTGCTTTGTTCACTCACTCGAATTGACTGCCGTGTTGGTCGGTGATTCAAGACCTAGTCTGAACGATCGATTTTCACTTGCTATCGTCCAACCCGTGTTAGGAATCACACATTAAAAGGTAAGACCTCGTTAATCCTTAGCTTGCACAAGTTTTCACTTCTGAGGGTTGTCCTTCGTAGGGGTGCGACAGCTGGTTAACGGAAAAACCAGATTTTATAACATCATATGGGATTTGTCCGTTTGGTTTATCCGACTTTTCCGTTTGGAACATTCTGTAGTTTCTTTGATGCTTCTTCAGTCTTGTTCCCATGGATCTTTTGGTGGTTTTGGTGTATACCTTCCTACAAGTGCACGATATGCGATTGAGGGTTGTCCTTCGTAGGGGTGCGACAGCTGGTTAACGGAAAAACCAGATTTTATAACATCATATGGGATTTGTCCGTTTGGTTTATCCGACTTGTCCGTTTGGAACATTCTGTAGTTTCTTTGATGCCTCTTCAGTCTTGTTCCCATGGATCTTTTGGTGGTATCGCATGATATGCGATACACCTGTGCTGCAAGGTATCGCCTACCGTGCACTTGTGAGAAGGTATAGGTACTTCGGATCCACTAAAACACCCATGGCAACAAGTCCAAAGGTGCCTAAAAGATGACAGTACTACCAACTGTCGAAAGCGCTCGCTGATAATTAATAGAAGATATAAAGCTTCAAATCCTTTTTGTAGAATTTAATATTGAAATATATAACTCAGGGTCTATAAACCTCTAAAGAAGCTAGCTACTCGCGCCAGAAAAACGCCAGGAAGAAATTCCAAAAATCCAGGGCCTTCAAAACCGAAAAATACTGACACTGAAAACTCACCAATACAATGAACAGATACAAGAAACTGAAATGAAAACGAATTGCCACACTTTCATTGATCGTCATAACCTCACGAAAATAATAACAAATCTTCAATTCAAACTCTACCCTGATCTTATATGGGTATGACTAGTTGTTGCCTGTGGCTTTGCCCGCGTAGAATTTGGTTTGTCACATTAGGTCTCGTGACAGACCATTTTGAACAAATATATAGGTGGAAATTCCTTATTCCCTTTCTTGATGCTTATTTACATTATACAAAGAACCTACCTGCATATTTCAAGATTCTAGGGTCAGTAGCTTTGGCTGTACGTTAATATAAGAGCGGGCAACAGCTAGTAATTTATATTTTCACTTCAAAGATGCAGTAACTAAAAAAATATGTCAACTGCACTAAGTGATGAATAGCTTCGAAAATCGAATTATGTTACATACCCGTCAACAACGTCTGCTCTCACGCGTCAGCTCGCGTTTGGATCGCGTTGTCGGCGATGGCGATGACACAATTGTATTCATGGCTCAGTATTTTGCATATAGCGGCTACCACATAAGAGGTAGGATATATATGCTATCGCGGACTTTTATTCAGAACTATTTAAGATAAACAATCTTACGGTACATTATCTGCATGTAACTCCAACGGTATAGGCAGCGCACGTCAAAATAGCTCTCGGGGAGCAAACATTTTTCCGACTTACTCAAAACTTATCGTTATATAATGACCAAATTTACATAAAACCTTTGTAAATTGTAGCCTATATCAACGAAGACTGTGGTAACTCAATTTTTAAGGAACTGAGAAAAACGGACTTGAAGTTTCTTGCCAATAAAAGTGACATACATTTAACTATGTTTTCTATTCTTTTGGAGATGAGGTGCATTCAAATGCTACATTTTAAGTACTGAATTGTGCTTTGTATACTCTGCACGTTATTTTTCTTTTGGACGAGTTACTATGATTTTCGTCGGAAATAATTATGAAAAAATTATTTACTACACTGCTTAAAAATTATATTTGCAACGAAATATTTTTTACAACTCGAAAGTGTTCTTTAAATGTATTTATCTACTTTTTAATCTTCGCTTTCAGTCGAGTTGTCATTATTACTACCCATATCTTTTGGATTCGATAAATAGTTGAAGTGAA